TAAATTAAATTATACACAATAAATTAAAACATACACAATAAATTAAATTAAATCGTAATAAATTAAATTAAATTATACATAATAAATAAAATTAAACATATTAAATTATTAATTTAAATTATAATTATATATATTATTTTAAATTAATTAAATTAAACTGTACACAATAAATGAAATTGAACTATACAAAATTAAAATAAATTAAAAATTAATTAAAATAAACCAAAATGATCAAAATAAATAATTTAAATTAAAAAAACATGCAAAAATAATTAAAAAATCAAAAAAAATTAGAATAATTTTAAAAGTATATATAAAAATAATTAAAATACTTTAAAAAACGTATAAAAATAATTAAAATACTTATAAAAAATGTTTAAAAAATATCTAAAAATAATTTAATTTAATAAAATAAAATAAAATAATTAAAATACCAAAAATATTAATTTAAAAATATAAAAATATGTATATAAAATAAAATAAATAATTAAATATAAAATATAAAATAAAATATAAAATAAAATAAAATAAATATAAAAGCATGTAAAATAAAATAAAATAATTAAAAATGCTGCAGTTAAAAATAAAATACAAATATATGCAAAGTAAATTAAATTAAATTAAATTAGGTAAAATAAATAGAAAACAAGTAAAATAAATATAAAACATACAAAATAAAATAAAATAAATAAATTAAACATGCAAAAAAATACTAATAAAAAACAATTAAATTAAATTAAATTAAACATGTAATTATATTAAACATGCAAAAAAACAATTAAAATAATTAAAAATAAATTAAATTAAATTAAATATAAGAATGTATAAAACAAAATAAAAAAATAAATTAATATTACTATAAATTAAAAATTAAATATAAAAATAAAAATAATTTAATAAAACGTATAAAAAATAAAAATAATTTAGAAAACAATTTAAAAAACATACAAAAAAATAAAAAAATAATTAAATAAACATATAAAAAAATAAAAAATAATTTAAAAAATAATTTAAAAAATACAAAAAAAATAAATTAATAAAATATATAAAAAAATAAAAAATAATTAAAAAATATAAAAAAAAGATTTAAAAACATATAAAAAATTAAAAAAAAAACTTAAAAAAATAAATTAATAAAACGTATAAAAAAATAAAAAATAATCAAAAAATATTTAAAAAACATGTAAAAAAATAAAAAATAATTTAAAAACATATAAAAAAAAAATTAAAAAAAAATAAAAAATAATAAAGTAATTTAAATTAAAAAATACAAAAAAAAATAAATTAATAAAACATATAAAAAATAAAAAATAATCTAAAAATATAAAAAAACAATTTAAAAAACATGTAAAAAAATAAAAAATAATTTAAAAATGTATAAAAAATTAAAAAAAAAATTAAAAAATAACAATAAATAAATTAATAATAAAATGTATAAAAAAATAAAAATAATTAAAAAAATATAAAAAAATAAAAAATAATTTAAAAACATATAAAAATTAAAAAATAATATAAAAAATAATATAAAAAATAATTTAAAAATATATAAAAAATTAAAAAAACGTATAAAAAATAAAAAATAATTAAAAAATAAAAAATTAAAAAATAAAAAAAATAAAAAAATAATTTAAATTAAAAAAATAATTTAATAAAATATATAAAAATAAAAAAATATAAAAAAATAATTTTAAACTGAATTCAGCATCGTTAAAACCCAGTACAGGTTTAATTCTGATTTATTTGAACTATATTTGGGTTCAGGTTCAGTAAAATCAAATTTAAATTCTTTGAAACCTAATTCAGGTTCATTGGAAATAGGTTTATTTGACCCCAATTCAGGTTCTTTGACTCCAGTTCGAGTTCTTTTAAACCCAATTTGGGTTCTTTGTTTCAGTTCAGGTTTTTTTAAACCTAATTTGAGTTTTTTGATCCCAATTCAGATTCTTTTAAATAGTTGAGGCTTAAAAATAAAAAATATTAAGAAACTTGAACCCAGGCAATGCAAAGTTCTAAAGCTATTGTGATTTAGGCTTAAGAATTAGCAAAAAATTAAAAACTTGAACTCGAAACAATATCTGGGTCTTAAAAACTAATAATATTGAGGCCTAAGAATTAACAAAAATTAGAAATTCACACCTAAGGCAATACCTGGGTTCTAAGAGTTAATATAATTTAAAAGCTAATATCATTGCAGAAAAAAAATTAGAAAAAAATTAGAAACTTGAACTCAGACAATATTAAGATCTAAGAATTAGCAAAAAATTAGAAACTCAAACCTAGGCAATGACTGGGTCTTAAGAGCTAGTACCTTTTGTAACAGCTAATCTGGGAGCTAGAAAAAGTGTAGATTGTATGCTTGGCTTATACCAAGTTATATGACATAATAGTGGTAATATATTCCTAAATATTCTATATAAATTCTTAGTAGATGATTACTTTTTAACTTGGAACAAGATTTATGCCAGTTCTAAAGATCATTTAGATCTAAATAATGCACCAAATATTGTAACTAATGGTTTTATAGTAGCAAAAAATCTAAAATTAAGACCAAATGATATAGTAGTTTTTGATGAAATCCATGAATATGATGAAGATGCTTTTATCTTATTAGATAGATATAAAGGCCAAGTAGTATTATTATCTGCTACACCAATTCCTGTACCTAACTCAAAACATATTCATTTAACTAAAAAATGAAATCCATATATTATTGAAGATATTCTATTATCTTTACATTATCATCTCAAATCTAATATTTACTATTATATTACTAATTATTACTATTCTAAAACTCTTGTTATTCACCCCAGTTATACTCAATATGTATGACTTTACAACATAATTGCTAAACAATTAATAAAAAATACCAAATAATTAGCAGTAGAAATGAACAAATTAAAGATAATACTGAAATTATATTCAGTACAAATATTTGGAATGCTGAATACACATAGAGAGAGTGTGATCTGGTTATAGATACTGGGTTAGATATAGATAAACATAATAGTAAACACATTATGTGTCATAGCAGCCATAGTGTTGCAATACAATGTCAGGGAAGAACTGGTCGCACTTGCAATGATATATACATTAGATTATATCAAAACTATATAGATAATCTTTTTGATGTATCTATAAGTTTTATTTATAATTATCTCCACCTATATGAAAAATTTTGGCAAGTCAAACCATCATATTATTCTGCTAAAAAACTTATAAATCCTAAGATACCAAGTTGCTTCAACTCATTAATTCAAAGTAATTTAGATTATGATGTGTATTTGGAATTAATATACACAACAAATCAACAAGATGCAGATTTATTGTATCAACATTTATTAGCTAAACACTACAATGCTTATACATATTACTTTGAAAATATTAATATAACAACTTCAATAGAAGATATTTGGATAGGTTTAAATAACTTTAACATATTACCTAGACTTATCCAATATAACACTATCAGATATGATAGTCAATTGAAATTATTTTATTTTCATTATAGTCATCAAAATAGTCTAGCTAGGTATTTATATGTGCAGACTAATAGAACTAAAATGTATATTAAAGATGTAGCTAAATTACTATTCAAGTATCCTACTAAAAAGAATGTTATGAATGAAGCTAACAAGTCTCTACAAGGCACCTTTATTTTTGGTAAAATGTATAAAGAATCTAAAAATAAAAAAAAACAGAAAATATACACTAACAAATATTTAAATGATCTTAATAATCTTCATGATAAAATTGTAAGTGGAGCAATTTTAAGTCAAAAAGAAAGTGATCTTGTTTATGATATAAATCAACAATATATTAAATATAAGGAAAACAATCCTGATTTTAATCTTCTAGCAGCTAGTGATTTTTTACCACCTAAACAATATAAATTTATAAAAGAGAATCCTCAAAATAAAAAACACTTAAAAGAATATTATCAAAAAATATTAGATGATTTAGTAAATAAAGTAAATAAAGATAAACTTTTAATTAATATTGATCATAAAAGACAAGCTGAAGCTACTAAAAGAATTAATGAATTATTAGATGAAGCATTTGAAGAGGATAAGAAAAATATCTTCAAAAATTTTAATAAACCTGATTATGCTAAAGTTAAATAGCTTTAGTGTATAAAAAATCTAACTCTAGTATTGCGATTAAGCAAAAAGAGGCTGAAAGCATATATACTTTTGAGTTAGGCCAAAAAAATTTAAATAAATCTTCAGAACCATTTATATATCTAGACTTTGCCCGTTGTGTCCTAGGACAACAATCATTACCATTACTGAAGACTGCTTACATGGATAGTTGTGTAAAATGTGATTATAATATGTTGCAAGATGTCTGCTATAAATGTATAAAAGAATCAAACTACACTGTGTCTTATGCTTGGTGTAGTTTAGATGCATTAAATACTTGCCAACAACAAGAAATCATTCAGATTTTAAATCATTTGTCGAGATTAGTCATATTATTACAGGATTAAAAGATAGTTTGGTTGAAATGAGAGAATTAGCAAAATACTTATATAGAAAGAATAATTCGTTTTATATTCATCATAAAGGTGCTGAACACATTATAAGTAATGGTTTAGCTCCATATGAATATTATATTGTTAATGACACAATATATTAGTATGTACTTAGAGGAATAGTTCTATCACAAACACCAAAAGGTGTTCACGAATATTTTTGTTATTGATGCAATATGTATAATGAAAATGAAAGAGATGTTGAATATAAAAACTTAACACAACACCATACAACTTGTTGTTAATTTAAAACTAATAATATTAATCCTAATAAACACAATTGTAATTAAAGATTGTGTTGTCATAATTTATTTAAATTAGAACTGACATAAACTAGTATGAGAACTTTGACTAGTAGGTTCATTATTGGTATATAATATATATTTTAATATATAGTTTTAAAACAACTACAATTTATATTGTTATTTTATTTTCTGAATAGGAGTTAAATTCAAAAGAAAAAAAAAAATAAAAAAATAAAAAAATAAAAAAATAAAAAAATAAAAAAATAAAAAAATAAAAAAAATAAAAAAATAAAAAAATAAAAAATAAAAAAATAAAAAAATAAAAATAAAAAAATAAAAAAATAAAAATAAAAAAATAAAAAAATAAAAAAATAAAAATTTAAATTTTTGCGATTAAATCTTTTGCAAATTTTTGCAAGTTTTTGAAATATTATATGTATTTGTATAAAATTGTATATTTTAAAAACTTTTGCAAAAGTGCATAATTTTTTATTATTTTATATATCTATTTAATTCTAATTCTTTACAAAATATTTTGCAAATTTTCATAAGTTTATATATTTATATGTATAATTCTAAATAGTTTTGCAAATTTTTGTAAAATTTTGTAATTTTATATATTTATATATATATTTTTTTAATTTTTGCAGAAATTTGTATTTTTCACATTTATATTTAATTTCTAATTATTATTAAATTTTTTAATTTTAGTAATATTAATATTTATAAAGCTTTAGTAATTAATAAAATATATTATTTAGATTTGGGATTATATAACTATCAAATTACTTATACTTGTAACCTTTTAAAATCCAAATATAAATATTTAATAAGGTGTGGCGACTTAGTGTAGTGGTCTAGTCGTCACCCTCTCCAAGTGGCAGGTCTAGAGTTCGAATTCCACGGACG